CAAAAACAAACAAAAGCTGGGGAATATCAGGTATTACATGGCCCACCAAAATGAGTAAGAAAGGGCAGCATCCTTAGCATTTTACTTTCCAACCCAAGACCCTGTTCCCTTTCCTCCTACATCGTAGCCACCGCCAAATCTCTGGAAGCTAAGACAGACTGTGCCTTGTGACAACACAAACTGCCTGGCAGGAGGGTTGGTTTGCCACCACTCTGAGCTTCCTCTCCAGAAACCTTACCCCTTCCTCCCAAGCCTTTAAAAGGGATGACCTAAATTTACTTTTTTAAATTACTAAACTTGAATCTGTTTTCCCATCTGAAATCTAGTATTTGAAGGACTGTGTAAATACCCTGGCATTGGAGGTTTAGAAATAACACTGTAATGAGAATAAGCATTTATTAGAAAATTAGACACCCAGTTAAAGCCCAGCAGGGAAATCTACCATATGCCAGCTTTTCCTGCCATACCATCATTGGTTATGAGCCACCATGGCAAAGAGCTAGGGGCCCAGGAACAGCGTGGGAAATTCTGAGAAACTCTATGGTAAACCACAGGGAAGATCTATACTTAACAATAATTAAGCCAAGGCTTAAGAATGCCAAGTATCCCTAAACTAATGAAAAGTCAAAAGCATAATTAAGTTGTAAATTAGCCCAGCAAAGGAATGGCAGCTGAGATGCCCACCAGCAGAGGAGAAGAGGCCTCCCGGCATTTCCACTTCCCTGCAGAAAACAGGTCACCAGGTGTTCCGATACATGAAGTTTACTTATCCCACTCAGTACAAGAACCTTCAGGAATCACTGAGAAAGCAAGCTGATTGGGTGTGTGAGAAAACAGAGGGTGGAAGAAACAGATTGCTGACCAGTGTGTAGTTATTCACAAATGTTATATACAGAAGTACAGAAAGGCTGCTGGTGCCTTTTGTCCCCCCAACAAGGTCTCAGTAGCCCAAGCTGGCCCCAAACCAGCTGAATAGCTTACGGTGACCTTGAACCTGCAATCTTCTGCTTCCATCTTGGGAACCATCACGTGCCCAGTTTTGCCTTACAGGAGATTAAACATGGGGTTTTGTGCATTCTAGGCAAGCATTTTACTGGCTGGGCTACATCCTAGCCCCTAAACACTCTTTAGACTGCCTCCTTTTGGCAAATGAGAGTCATGGTTTTGACCTCTGTAGTCCCATGTGGTGCTAGCTATTTTCAATCATCTCTTAGGCAACAAGTGATTCTGTTCTGAAACTCACCAATTATTCTCAGCATTGAGAACCAGGAATGTCATTCAGTAATGACACACCTAACTCCAAAGGAGTCAAATTCCTTCTTTAAAGAATGTAACTACGAAAACCATGAGATTTATGGTGTCATGAGATAATTGAAAATGAAAATAAACTAAAACAAACTATATTCTGTTCAGCTTGGGAGATGGCCACCATGGAATAAGATTTTTTTTTCTGGAAATATAGAATGGTGTCATTATTTTGCCACATGAGACCTCAGGGATGAAGGGAAGAGCAGATACAGATGTTTGCTGAATACAACAAGCAGGTGGTGCTCTGGAGCAGAGCAGATGGGAACCATACAGAATATACAGAATGGGGTTACTAGCCAGGCAGTGGTGGCACACACCTTTAATCCCAGCACTCGGGAGGCAGAGGCATAAGCAGGCGGATCTCTGTGAGTTCGAGGCCAGCCTGGAGCTAGTTCTAGGACAGATGCCAAAGCTACAGAGAAAACATGTCTCGTAATTAAAAGAAAAAAAAAAAAGAATGGGGTTGCTACTGAGATCTGACCAAGGTTTAAGCATTAGAATTAGAAAACTGTGTATTCTAAAGAGCCTTGCCTCAGCAAGAAAAGCTCTGTGATTCTGACAGCATCCAGAGTTTCCGTTTAACTAAAGAACGATAAAGATGAGTTTCTCATTAGCCAGAGATTGGTTCCAAAGACTCAAACCCCACAGAGCACCAAATTACAGGGTGTTCACAACCCTCATACAAAATGGTTCTAGGGGGCTGGAGAGATGGCTCAGTGGTTAAGAGCATTGCCTGCTCTTCCATAGGTCCTGAGTTCAATTCCCGGCAACCACATGGTGGCTCACAACCATCTGGAATGAGGTCTGGTGCCCTCTTCTGACCTGCAGACATACACACACACAGACAGAATATTGTATGCATAATAAATAAATAAATATTTCAAAATGGTTCTAGGCTGGGGCTGAGGCTAACACAGAGAAGAGGTTTAAAATGTGGGAGGTATTGGGTTCAAGTCCTAACAGCTCAATAAGTAAATAATACACCAGGCATGGTGGGGCATACCTATAATCCTATCGTTCTCAATGCTGATGTGGGAGAACCATTTTGAGAATAAGGACAACTTGGGCTAGAGTGAGATCCTGTCTCAAAACAAACAACAAAAACAAACAAACCAGGCACAGTACTGTCTGTAACTAATATGTATACTTCATACACTTTGAACCAGCTTTAAATGACTTACAATGCCTAGTACAAGATCAATATTTTGTACCTAGTTCCTACACTGTGTCTTTAGACAATGATAAAGATAAAAGTTTGTACACGTTCAACACAGCCATGTTTTTTTTTTTTCACTTATTTTCAATCCCCAGTTGAGTCTTCAGATGTAGAAACTGTGAGTAGAGAAGGCTGATCACAGTCTTCACTACTTTCACCAATTAGGAAATTTTAGGGAAAAAAAAGGTAGTACTGACCAGTAAAGTTCTCACTGGAATTAATACCAATCCTCATGCCTCAAACTCTAGAGTAGGAAAATCAAATTCCAATGAAGTTAAATGAATTAATCACATGGCATAATTAGGGTCCCAAGGAGTCTGTTGTTGGGTTACTCACTTATGGCTAAGTGTCAGAAGATTACACTGGCTGGGGAGGGACTGAAGTCAACCCTCAACACTGTCAAAAAGTATAGTATGGGTGTCAACATTTTAGCTAAGCCTGGTGTCTCAGGCACAGCACCTGAAACCCTAGAATTCAGGAGGTGAAAGGAGGCAGATAAAAGCTACAGCAGACGGAGCTACATAATAAGACCCTGTTGCTACTAATTAAGTTGGGTATGCTGGCACACACCTGTTATCTTAGCACTGGAGAGGCTGAGATAAAAGGATCAGGAGCTAGCTTGGGCTATGGAGTAAGGCCTCGCTAATTAATTAACCAATTAATTAAAACAAAATAGGCTTTCAAAATGGCTAGCCTACATCTGGATTCACCAGTCCCTGGACCCAGTCTTCCTAACAGAGGCAGAAAGTGATTGGGGTGTGTGGCAGGGAGTGTTAATGGGCTCAGACCACAAGATAAAACATGATCCATCTCCAGGGCTTCCAACCTAGACTCACCCAAAATGTGTTTAAAACCTGTAGTTGTGTTTTGCATTCCAGAGCTGCGCCTGCTGAAGACCCAAATTGCAATTGCTGCACCAAGATGGAACTGATGAGAGCTCAGAAGGGCAGAGGTGGGGACTGTCTCGCAGGAGTTGAGAAACTGCTATAGACTTAATGACTGGCAAAAAGATTGCCCTGGGAGTCAGTCAGATGGCACAACTGTAACCCAAGGTTCTCGGAGGCTGAGACAGGAGGTTCTCATCAAGTTCACTTCCTTGCGGACTCTAGACCAAGCTGAACAATTTAGTGAAACCCTGTCTCCCTGTCTTAAACTAAAAAGCAGAGAGGAGTAATGGATGTAGTTCAGGAGAGGGTCTAATTTCAGTTCCCGCTTTGAGGGGTAGGGGAACCCTAGCTAAGAAACACAAACATTTTCTAAGTTGTAAATAAGGCGAGAGAAATGGAGGCGGAGCGAAAAAGCATGCCCCAGCGTTTTCAAGTTCTCTCTGGAGTTTGCTCTGAGTATCCTATCCTTCGGACGAGGCTCTTAGCACCTGGAGTGCAGTACGGTTTCTTGCCGGGGTCTTGAGTCCCCTCCAATGAAGATACAACTCCTTTGGAGGGCGATTGAATTCACCGGACGGATCTCCATGTAGTTCAGCATAAAACTGCATTTCACAGAAACCTTCCGGAGGAAAGTTACTTTCAGAGCTCTTGGGGCTCCCCTCAGCTAAAGCGATCAATCGCAACGCTGCCCGGAGAAGCTGGAAGGCATTTCACACCCAGCTCGGGACCATGCTGGGGGAAAAAAACGTGTAACACTCCAGTCCCAAACCGGGAACTCCTGCCAGGCATCAACACCACGCCCACCCCTTCCTTAACGACCCCCGCGGTCGTCCCGACTGTAATTATTTATCTCCCACATAAATCAAGGTTCTGTTGACAAATCCGCGCGTTTCCACTCCACTGAAGGCTGCCCCCCAAGGCCGTCCTCTCCAGATTCTTTTAAAAAATAAGATAACTTCCGACACTTCCAAAAACCTGCCTGTAGAGGATACCACCTAGGGGATCTATACCCGCAAGATCTCTGGAACCCGAGGGGAACACGTGGGGACAACTATCCCTCGGGCGGGCGCAGGGAATGGGCGCAGAACTGGGAGCAGTTATTTTCCAGTCAGTAGATCCGAGAGAGAATGATGCCAAATGCACTTTCCGAGCCAGCTGAACTCCGCGGGCACCTAATCATTGCCAGATGCGCGACGCGCGCAACGAGGACGTCCAGACTCCCGGGAAAACAGCCGGCCTGTGGCACTGCGACGGCTGGGACAGCAGAAGGGTCACCGGGAGAGTGGCAAGAGCCGCAAACCCACCCGGAAGAATGACGATGCCTAGCTTTCCTCCGCATGTTTTTTCAATTACAAAGTTGGAAACTGAAATCCGTAAACAACGGCTTGGGACCTCCAAACAACTCTGCGGATACCGAGGTTGAGGAGAGCGCCTGAGGGAGTCCCAACCCTAGCCTCGAGGGCTTTAGCTGTGCTCCACAGCGTTCCGGTGTCTGTGCGTGAACTGGGCGCTCGGCTCTCTCCGCCTCTCACCCCCTGACTGCATCTCGGCCGACCTCCCACGAGCCCCTAAGCCGGCAGCCGCCCTACCTTTCATGGTGACCGAGGACACGCGCCGCCCGGAGAAGTCGCACCAGGGTCGTTCACTGCACGCCCATGGCAGTCGAACGCGCTCCAACTCTCGCGCCCACCTCCACACTCTGCCGCCGCGGGGCTGCCGCGCTCCTCTCACCCGGGTTGGGAGGCGCCGCTCCCCCTTGCGCCCCTCCCCCTGGCTGCCTTAGCGGCCGCGCCCACGTCCCTCGACAACCTCCGCCCCTCCCTCGGCCGGGCTCCTGGCCCTCCGGGACTACCCCGCTACCCTCGCGGATCCCCCTTCTTCCAACCAGACCTGCATCCCGGAGAAATACAGAGAACAGCCGCTTTCCCGGGAGGCCCGTGCTTCACCCTCGGCGTGTTTGGAAGGCGCTACTTTCTAAACTTGTTACTGGAACGTAGACCATCTGTTGGGCAGAAAGTTGGGGAGCAGTGAGGCCACAGGGGTAGCCATGAAAGGCTGTCCTTTTGTCAAACGGCTCTGGGGGTATGGAGGTCCAGGAGGTTCAAATTTGCAAGTGCCTATATACAACGGTGTTGGCTGCAAAATCCCGCTTCACGGTCTCACTAAGCGCCCAGATACTGTCCCTACTGAACTCGGGACAAGATTACGACTTTAAAACCTTAGGATCTTCCAGAGGTTTTTTTTTTTTTTTTTGTTCGTTTAATAAAAAACTTCTTTTTTCCTGGAAAAGCTACACGACCCCATGCCCAACTATCAGATTGACTCCTGTTTCAGCATCACAAAAAGAGACCTAAATGTGAGACTTCCTAAATTCCTTTAACAGTCACCAATCATATGGAAGAGGGGCAGAGGAACTATCCTCAGCAATTCAAATGATACACTATCCGTTAGCTTACAAAATACTGGCTGGGCAGGGACTGAAGCTATTCAGACTGCTTAGACCTAGTAGCTCTAGATAGCCAACCATTAGTGTAAACCCCTCCAAAGATGGAGGCCCCATCCCTGTTACCCACCAAGTCTTGACCCCTCCCTGGAGGAGGGTCAAGACTAACCGCCGAAATCTTGACCACGCCCTCAGTCTATTTAAACTGGTTCCCTGGAAAGTTTCCTCCTGGTCTCTTTTCCTTCCTCCTGGTTAGCGGCCTTCTGGTTCCCTTTCAGGTTGGCTTTCAGGGCCACCCGAAAGCGCAGGAATCCCATTAAACCTGGATATTTTTTAATTTGGCTTGCTGTAATTTGGCTCGATTGGAATTTTTGCATCCGTAGAGAGCTCGCGTTAGGAAAATTTCCTAACAATTAGTTCATTATAAGCAGGGGAGGCCTTGCTCTAGTAAAAGGCGGTACCCAGAAATTAAACAATGGGCAAAAACATCTCATACTTACTCTTCATTCTAAAGTCTTTCTTTAACATAAGGGAGAAACTTGTACATTTCTAAAGAAGAAAAAGAAACACATATATGCTTTGAAGGCTATTCTTAAAGCCTCTCAATATCTCACCTGCTTTGTCTACTTGCAGGACAAGTGAAGGTCTAGGAGCGAGCCATGGACTTGGGTTGTCAGGCAGTGGTTCTTAAGCTTCTCTATGCTACGACTGACTGAAATGGATTAAATAAAAAACGCAGCAGGATCCCCTGGAGCGGCAGGCAGCAGGCCGTGCATGGTGGCAGGCAGTGGGCAAGGGGTTCCAAGAGCAGCCAGTCCCGGGCAGGGAGGGCTGCAGGTCCCCAAGCAGTGGCAGGAAGACACCACAACAGGCAAGAGACAGAGTCATGGTAGGCATGCAGAGTGAGGTTGGATATTTAGTAGGTTATGGAGGGGGAAAGGAAGAAGAGGAGAAGAGGAGAGAGAGAGAGAGAGAGAGAGAGAGAGAGAGAGAGAGAGAGAGAGAGAGAGAGAGAGA